AATAACATAATAACCTTGACACATGTGGCATCTGAAACCACTGTAAATGGGCTGTAGCTTTGATGCTCCTTGTCTCTCTCTTTGTGGGCGATATCAAAGACTGCTTCATTAACCGTTCTTGAAATGGCTGTCCAGATCAAGGCCTGAACAGCTGTGGATCCTAGGTGAGTGGCATTCAGAGATGAAAAGGCCAACCTAACCACCTTCCTTTTCTTCTCTGAGCAGTTCCAAAACTGACCTTTTGTTTCTGTCCTGACGAGAGGCTGATGTGTTTTGAGCTCTCTCGAATACTCGGAACCGTTTTTAAAAGCTGACCTGTTTGACTTCATAAAGCCAGCAACAAAAACGTTTATAAAAATAAAGCATATGGGGTCATTTATACATTCCCTCCACACTGCCATCACTACTTACAATGACTCCCCCCAACCCCTGTGTTACAGAGTAGAACTGAGCTCCATTGGGTTTTCTTGGCAAATTGTCTGTGACATCCAGGGACTATTTACATAACACTGGTGATGGTAGTGTGCCATGGAGTCGGTTCTGACTCAGAGCGACCCTGTACAGGGTTTCGGAGGCTGTAAATCATTTTGGGAGCAGAAAGCCTCATCTTTCTCCCATGAAATGGCTAGTAGTTTCGAACAGCTGACCTTGACGTTAGCAGTTTGATTTGTAACCACTATGCTACCAGAATTCCTTCTATTAATATCCTATTAATACAGTAAATCTTCTTAAGACTTTAAAAAATAGACAATGACAGGAGAGAAGAGATTCTATAACCATTTGTGCTCTATTATTTCACTCCCGAGTTTTCCCCTTTGAGATTCTTACTCTCTTCTACAAAAAGTGTTTCTCCCTCTACCAGACCATATGCTTCATAAGGGCAGGAGTTTTGGTTGCTCTTTTCATTCTTAGACCCTTAATGCCAAAACAGTGGCAGGTACAGAGTAGGTGCTCAGAAAGTATGTGCTGAATAAATGAGTGAATCATTTTCACCCTGTGAAATCTAGCAATCAACAAAATTATTCTGAATTTAGACTTAGCTAGAATTCTTTCAGTAATTCTGCTAAAGCTATTGCTTAGAACAAATGATTGACTGACGTAAGCCCAGAGATTTGCAGTGTTTGTTCAAGAAGCAAAAAAACAGAGAGGTGGGAAATTGCAAAAATATTATTATAACATGATATTTAGGAGATTTTTTTCAAGCTTTACGTGGACGGAAGCATATGTGTCCCAGTTAAGATCAACAGCCTTGGCTTAGGTTTGAAGGTCCAGCAGTGAATAAGGCATATTTAGGGGTAAGTTAGGAAGCATGACCAGGCTTTTACTTGGTTAGAGATGTTTCGAATAGGAAGTGGGATTCCAGGAACCCTTCCTTCCTTGTTCTTGATAAAAACATACTGTCTAAATTGTCTTGGCAGTGCTCAGAGCTTTTTCAAAAATAAGAATAGCACAGTGAAACAAGTTTTCAAAGAAATGATTGCAAAACATGGCAGCTGCTCAGCCAAGGGAACTAACATCAATTTCCACTACTTCATCAGCTATCCTTTTCAAGTGATCTCTAAAGTGGAACAAAGCAATCCACTTGGGTGCGGGAAGAAAATATGAGAACTTCTACACAGGTGATATGAAAGAGTTAGAATGCAATCTGTATTTATTTTTCTCTCAAACATTTAAATCGCGTATAATGTAGTTACTATCTATCTGTTATATCTGGATATGAATAGGTACAATACATTGGCTATGTGACCAATTTCACTCAGAGGTGCATGATCAAAATAATTGGGTACCACTGACTAGTCTTTTGTTGGTATTCAAGACTTTTGGTTAGAAAATAAAGCATCCTGCTATTAACAAGCATAACAATCACATTTTGCTTTACTCTTATCTGAAATGTCCTAAGTATGAGCATAACCATACAAAGCAAAAGGCAGGGTTTGTATTCTCAAGAGTTCCAACCAGCAATTCTGTTCTACATTGATTGTCAATGCACTTGTATAATGCATTGCAGTCAGTCATAACCCAAGAGAGCAGTGTGTTGAAAACTTATTTCCAGTACCACGACCTCTCTTGCCTCCTTAAATACTGACGTTCTATTGTAACTCTGGGAACATGGTGACTCTGCAGGATAAGCACCATATTGCGTACCACAAAGTCCGCAGTTCAAGCCCACCAGCCGCTCTGCGGGAAAAAGATGAGGTTTTCTGCTCCCGCAAAGATTTACCACCTCAGAAACCGAACTGATGACACAACAAAACGTTGTCACTCTGCGAACTATTAACATGTTGAGAATTTGGGACTCAAGGGCATTACCTACAGTATTGGTTATTAGTACACAGCCCTTCTGTAACTACATTAGGTCTGTAACTAAATCCGAACTACATTAGGTCAGATGGGTTCCACCCAGTATCTTTTCTATAGGAATTCTTACTTTAAGTAAAAGCTAAATTTGGCGTATGAGTGGAACTTTAGATGCTACCCAGTAAAGTGACGACAGCAGAGATGGTGGTAGAGATGATGGCATGGAGAGATAGAGCAGCTGGGGACTCTAGACCCATGGACCGAGTAATGCAGAACGTGCCCTTTGGACATTTAAATGAACATATATTTTTTGCTTTGTATGTGTGCATCAAATACTTTTGCTTTATTGATTTGTGAAAAATAAGATGTAAAAGGGAAGCCACAGGAAGGAAGCAGGGTAACTGTTACTGCAGGGAGGGGATTGTAATCATTGAGATGTAACAAAAATGCATGACTGGTTGACAGTAAAGCTGGTGATCTGTCTGTTAACCTTCACTCAATTTACAATAAAAAGTTTTAAAAAATTAGCAAATGAAAACGAACTCTTTCTGAACTTATATTGAGTATATGTACACGTGGTTTGAGAGGCAGTGGTAGGGTGGCTTCCCAGAGTTTTTTGTGAGGATTAAATGATCTTCTGTGTATGAAAATCACTTGAAACTGGCCTAGCGCAGAGTAGCTTGGAAAGTGTTAGCAATTATTCTTATTATCATTGTTGTTGTTGTTAACATTATTTTAGGTTTTTTTTTAATGCCTTAGGTTTTTTTTTACCCACAGAGGATAATATATTATCTGTTTTATCAACTAACTCCAGTGAGAAATGACTTGACAACAACTTGTTGGAAGTACTTCACAAAGTCCAAACTACTTTTTAGGGGTAGGGTGGGGGAAAGACCACTGGGCATGAAGTAGGACCCGAGAA